GACAGCTTAAAAGTTAAAGCAGTAAGAAGAGTACAAGTAATCCATTCAACTGATGCTTTCAAAAGTCTAGAGAACATCTTAGAATACCTAACATTTTAATTGACTTCATATATTATTAGCAAAAAGAAAACCACACACAAAGATGCACTCAAATCAAAGCAACTCGATAAGTTTTTGTCTCAATTACTTGGGGTCGGCTACCTGAATCCATTTCCAAAACCACACGAGGATGCGCATCTATGCTAAAGGCTTTTATATCAAAGCCAAGGGAATTAAAGAAAATTATGTTTATGGATTCATAGTTAACATTTATCATTAAAGCAATCATGTAACAATAATGGTAAACTAAGCACACATTTAATCATACAATGGCCAATGCATACCTGCTAAATTAAAACCTAAAATAGGCTGCTCAGGCCATTATTTTCCCTTTTCCAGGCTGCCCCCCTCCAACATCAGGGCCTAAGTGGGGATGACAGCAAAGTGATCTTGTAAAACTCCACAACCACATGGGCAATTCACACTTCAGAAACAAATCATGATGCGAAGTCTTTGTAATCCTATGCTCAAAACATATAGTATTACTTAAAACATATATGTGGACACTAAAATTTTACACAAGTAAAATAAGACCTACGAGGGACAAATGAAAACCAAAAAACAAATATGCGCATTACACACAAGGATATCTCATTATTAAGGATTTATTTTGGATTCAGAAGATTCGGGTCCTCTCCAGTTCTTAATATACTTTGAATGTTCACAGACAACAATCAAAGACGGAGAACAAAATTTAACCAATCAAACTAAATTCTTGTAATAATTTGTGAACCATTTTTGCTTATGCATACCACCAGAAGCTTCAACAAAATAGATTCATTTTGCGTGAACATCATTGAGGCATCAGGATTCTAAGACTTGTTAACTAACATGAAAAATTCAAACTAAATGCATATTATTTTGAAGGATCAGAAAGTGCATAATGTAATGCAAAAAAGAAACAAAAAACAAAGTAACTCAAATTTTCTAGTCTTGTTTACATGCAGTTCATGAAATAATTTATTACTGTGACTAAAAATTGGCTTGGAACCTAGTTTGTTAATGCATGGTGGGTTTGTAAGGAAAAATGCACAACAGATTTCTAAATAGCATACCCTCAATTTCTTAGAATAAGATCATAATAAAAAATAAAAACAATAAAAAATCCTGAAATTAATACATATTATCATATGGAATTGATTTAAGCACATATTAATATCAGTAGATATTGTCAACAATAAACGTCAATAAATCCATTTGTACCCGTATATTTTTATATATATTCTAGCAAAACTATACATGCACATGGCCAGCATGATTTCTTTAGACTACTGAAGAAAAGAATAACTCGCAATTGGATACACCAAATTTGAAGAACCACTGAACTGGCAAGGAGTAAAGATAAACATCGAATAATCAAATTTGCAAATGTCGTTTACAGTTGCTTCCTTGAGTATTTAAAACGGTTCATCAAAATTTCCACCTGATATTGTGTTACCACAACTTCATAGCTAGGCAACTTCAAAGTGATCTCTAGGACGTTATTTTTATGGCGGCTGATAATCCCTATTCAGAAGTTGAGCTAGCAGGTCAACCAGTGCCTGAATTTTATAGCCTTAGGACTTTTGTGTATTATGTCTAATTTTGCTAAGGAAAGAGGCATTGTAGCTATGTTGCCAATCATTTGCAGGTCTGGTGAGCTATTCCAGTTCAACCTTAAAAGGCCAACAAATACAGAAATTCCACCCACATACAAGCCCCATACAAAATCACATTCAGTAGTCTTCTCTTTCATCTTTCTCATTCAGTAGAATTTGCTGCTAACAAGTTGTCATTCAACAAGTGATCTGCATATATATTTAACACAAATGTTGTTAGTCCAGGTACAAAGTAATGTTGTTAGTTCAGTTTGAATGCTAAGTTCCATAACAGAATTACTAATAACGAAATTCACGCATTTAGGAAAGAGAGTATTGTCTTCACTTAGCACTGGATCTGTAATACAGTTGACACAAAAAACAGTCTGGCAAATATTAAATAACTGAACAAAGAGGGTTGATAAAAGCAACCTTGCACCAGTAACTAGAGTTCCATGAATCCATGATGATTATGATGCACTGGGAAAGGATATGAAGATTTTTTTACCTAAACTTTCAATTCAAAGTATCAGATTTCTAGATTTGAGGAACATATATGATCAGATTTTTTCATTTTTACGCATGTGATTCAATATGACAAAAAACTATATGTTGTCACAAGAAAGATGAAACAAGAAGTTAACCCCTGCTAACTACACAGACCTCAAAAACTGATAGAGTTTAACAGTTACACAACAGAAGTAGTGCATGCAAGGAAACACACAGCCACTATTGCACTTGTTTATCAAAAAATAAAATAAAATTGAATTTCATTAAGGCAATGTCATCTTACTAAGTGAACAATTGATTAGGAAGCTGAGGTGTTGGCTAACACAGCAGTTACTTATATAGAGTGCGGCCACACATGACTTACTCCGTTCCGTAATGTAAAGTAGTATAGCTTGGATAGTATGGTTGTACAGAATTCAGTTAGGGTACAATAGTATAGTTATATACATGTATATGTTATCTCTCCTATAAAATATAAGTATCTGAGAATTTAACAGAGTGTCGTTGTCGAACATATACGAGAATAATCATTTTCTGGAAGCTCTAGCTTCTTCTTCAACAACCTTGTCATAGGGCACAGTCAATGATAGAAACTATCAAATTGATAAGCTAACTTACGAGAAAATGAGGCCCTCTTTCACTCAGTTTGTCCCATCTACTTTTTCTTATTCTTCTTTTTGTTGGAACAATTTCCTATGTAAAAAATAAATTGAAACTAAATCAAACAAAATAAAATAAATAACTTACAGAATTTATTTTACCGAACCGAATGAAAAATAAAAAGATCAAGTCGAGTGTGTGACACTCTATCCTTAAGACAAATTCGCCCCACTACGGTGCTTACGGACAAATGGCATCTATCTTTCAGGATACAAGGATCTTCATAAATTTATAGTAGCACTTCAAACAAATTTATCTGGCGAACTAGAACCTGTGTTCTATAACTCTTTGAATTTTTTCTAAAATAATATAAAGAACAATAGATGCTAGAGAGCAAAATGAAGGCAAGGAAAATGAATTTTCGGAATGAGTGACTGCTAGAAAATGGCCTGCTATTTATAGACCTGAACAGGTTCAATAATTCAAACTGAATAGGTGGAATTTGAATCCAACAGGTGCATAACAGTTTAAACAAATAACTGATGGGCAGTTTATATCTGTTGGAAAAACTGCAACAGATCTAAATCTGTCTGGGCAGATCTGTCTGGGGTTCAACAAATTAACAACCTGTTTGGATTGTTTAAACCTGTTGTGGAATTTTGATATGAAAAAAGGCACAAAATTTTGGACAAACAATTCGAATTCAAATTCAAATTACAAAAGTGCAAAATTTAAATTAATTTTTCTCGTAAGAAATTTGAAAAAAATTCAAATAAATTTTTTTCAAAAAATTAATATTAGAATCAACCTGACCCACAACCCACACTCGCGCCCGGGCTGGCCCGGCTCAGACGGCGGCGATGCCCGTGCGTGTGGTGGTTTGGGCTAAGGTTTCATTTGTCCATAACTCCTTCCTTCTACAAACTTGGGGTGCCTCTTGGGGCCCAACCCAAGTATTGTACTCTAGAGATTATATACCCATAAAAGCTCTCTTAAACCTATTTCAAGAAATCCACATTTACTTTTTTAAATTTCTCATTCCACGAACCCGAAAACGACGTTAACTTCTCATTCACTCATAAATAGTTTTGACGAACCGTTTTCACCGTGTGACTTGCCATGCCGTAAGGAACACGTCACCTTTTCGGACCCGCCCCAAAAGACGTTTGGGGCCCACTCAATTTTGGGCTCAAAGTTGGCCCAAAATAAGACTTATAAAACCAATTTTCCAACAATCCCCCACATAAATGGAATTTGACGGAGAGAAAATGCAACAACATGATCTAAATACAGAGAGTACAGAAATTCAAAATATTCTGCAAAGGATAAGTAACTTTTGGCTTTGAACCTTCTCTTGTGAGACACTATCAGATTTATTAGCTAACCAGTGAACATGATGTCATGAACTGTTCAGCCATTTGTGTTAACCAAAACAATAGAACTCATACAGTATATCCCCAAACACAGTTTAGTTCTCACTATTGTGTTCATTTTGGCCTTGAACAACCTGGTCTTTCATGAGTCCTCTAGAGAATTATAGCCCTTCACAAATCTCATAGAACCGACTCAGTGCACACTCATATAGGTGATTCTTATGAAGAGTATCCTGCCATACTCCAATAGGTATACCTAGATATAAGAATGATTAAGGCCCCGTTTGTTTTCAGAGGTAGAATGGAGGGGATTCATAGTGAGGGGATTAATAGTGAGGGGATTAAGTAAAATTGTGTTTGTTTTGATGATACTTGTTAGTGTAGGAATTGTTAAATTATTTTTATATAAAATAATAAAACAAATAAAAAAATATAAAAAATTAAACATTAATATTTAAAAAAAAATTCCCAATATATAAAAAATAAAAAAATTTCTAATCCCTTCACTATTTTTCTAATACCATCTCTACCTCCTCCTTCCCAATCCCCATTCCAAGGCCTTTACTAATACCAAGAGATTAGGAGTCCACTCCCCATCTCTCAAAACAAACACCCCATATAGTAGTCCCACCTCACTATCAAACCCAATCCCCTCCCTATAACGCCAAACAAACGGGGCCTAAAAGCATTATTTAACCTAAAACGCTGTAGACATCACTATTTTATCATAAAAATAGGTAGGAGCTTGACTCCCCAGTGATCCTTCTGAGTCCTACACAACTCGGTTGTCCCTTTGAACC